GTAAAGCCAAGTCTCTTGTTGATTTCATACATTATTGTTATTTTTAACTTTCTGCCATCATGGTATATGTGGATGGTATTCCATAATTGTTCTACGGCTCTCACTTTGTCCACCATTCTGTAAATAAAGTCTGAAGTGAGTTCCGTGTCTTCAGCTGTAGGAGTGGGTGTGTGTTTGCATTCCTTGATCAATTGAACGTTTATATGGTTAATCTTTGAAATTTTATTGAGGCATCATTGTTAGTTGTAATATATATTACTTACATTGCAATTGTACCTAACATAATATAATAACCACCGTTAAGAATCAAGTAATAAGCTTTTTTTGTTATTATATTACATTCTTGTTTTGGCATCATATTTCCCTCTCTAGCTGGGGCGAAAGACCAACACAGCGGTGCCATTTTAGGCAGGGATTTTCATCTCGCTTCCCCTCACATCTGAGGAAGTATCCTGCGCCTTAAACCCAGCACCGCCGCTAATCACTTACGACGTCGAATATTGTGACTAGTCACAGTTGGTATTTCAGGCGGCTTCAGTCACAAGCTGTAAATGGTAAACAGCTGAGTTGTTTATGGACACATTGCTGTGTCCAGCCTGTGGCATAATGAAACTCTTTTACCAATATATTCTTGAATTAGTAACACAGAAGAAATGTACAAGATTCTCTATAAATTAGTGACGTTATTAACGGAATGCGTGAGAACCGTGAAATTTAGGAACGAGGTATTGTCTCCTCTAAAGGATGCTACTATAGCTTTAATTTTCATACCAGTTTAACAAATAATGTTTGGAATAAGTTTTAAATGCTTAACTATACAAGTATATATAAAGTATTCTCCTTTTTCTCTGAAACATAATGATGGTGTCCACTCGTCCACAAACTATTTTAGCAACAATGAAAATAGTATTAGAAAAGTAATAACAATAAAGACATATAAAGGAAACCATTACATCCGAGGCGAAGACAATAGCTAGTTTTAGTGTAATGCCTTGTTTACAGATACAGCACTTGGGTTGGAATGAGCTACACGTCTGTTGCAAAAGCAAATCACATCTATACTGGAATATCACACTTGCTGCTTTATTCACTATTCTACGATTAAATAACTATAATTGATTCAAATACCTGTTGACAAGTACTAAATGTTCTAAGGTTGAAAAAATGTCATTTGTGGTTCACCATAACCCGATGGGGCTGCTCTCCCCTTGACTTACTCTACAGCAACTTGAATGGTACCAATATATAGGATCCCTTTCTCTGTGTAACCTACGGCGCCGTAACGCGTTTCAGTATCTGGCCCATAGACTGCATATTTTTGATATCTCAGAATGATGTATCGATATTTGATGTTTACGTCAAAATTCTTGTTATCAATTTTGATTATTTAGTTATAATCTATGTCTTGCAATGCTGAAAAATATGCCGTCTCTTGACTATTATATTTCCCTGCAGAAACAGTTACAGATATACATTCCAACCGTACTTCACATGAATTTAACTCATGACCAAGTGAGCACACTGTGTTCATTTCTCCTCAGTTATGGATTTTATGTTTCCACGAAGGAATCTTCGCTGACCTCCCGCATCTCTTCTCAATTGCTGACTTACAACTCCCCCCCAGGGCCCAAGTCACCAGTCAGCCAGGGAGCAGTCCTCAGGAATTCGTCTTAAGGCCAGCAGGACGCTCAGATGCCACTACTGATGAAATGGAATCCCCAGACGCACAGCCAGACAATCCTGGAGAGTCTCCGCCTCAAGTCGGGGAGGGAAAGGATATCGCCGCATCAGAATCCTTCCCCAAGATTACCTCCCCGCCAGCTCCGCCTCTCGACCCTGCTTCTTCCCCTGATCCCGTCGCCGAACCAGCGCACACAGTAGGTATTCTCGGCGCATGTGGCTTTGATAAATGATTACACATCCGTTATTTATTCATTTTGGTATAGTCTGTATATTTGCTGGTAATCTTTAAAAGCAGCTGAATAGGGATTCGTGCATTTGCAACAGAGAAGGCGAATGTATGGGATTGGATGTTTGATTCTCAAAGATATACTTGACGTATGGCTGTATACCGGCTTTACAGCAATGTTGGTTGGAGCCGTACAAAGAGAGTCCTGCACAACCTTCCATGCCACGAGAAGTCCCGGAGACGCGATCGTCCGCCTTCCAGCCTCCCGGGTATGAGACCTCACCCATCTACACTCCAGCGCCCACAGCCCAAACGCCTGTCAACCCTCACATAAAGCCGGACCGTAGCTTCGACCTAACTAGATGCTATGAATCCACCGATACCCCCAAGACTTTCGCGACGCCGCCTCAGAACTCGGCTCTGCGCTGCCCCTTGCCAGCCCAGGACTTCCCCACCTCCGTCATGTCCTCCATGAAGCCAAAGTTCGGCGTCGAACCTGACGACTTTCAGCTGCGGAACTGGACTGGACCTATCGATAACCAGTTAGCCAAGACTCCACTGGGCATCCCACCCCCGTGCGTGTCTCTGCCCTTACCTCAGCCACCTCCTCCGCTCAGTTCCTCGGCCTCCATCAGACCCCATCCCCCCATCCGACCCCAGCCGCCCATCCGACCTCAGCCCATTCCAGCCCCGAGGCTTTCCCATGTCCATCCGCACATGGGCTGGAGTTCCGTGAGTCTACCTTACATTGCTTCAGCTCTCCTCCAGACCCACCACGGGAGCGCCCCCGGCCTCCACCTCCCCCGCCCTGCTCACCTAACCGCCCCCGCCTCGTCTCTGGCAGCGTGGTGGTGCCCCCCGCGTCTGTGTGACCACCGGGAAGTCATGATGAACGGTGGGGGGGGTGGCGCGCCCTCCTCCATCTAAGTGAAAGCTCCAGAGTTGTGAATGCAAACACAAAGTGATATTGACATAGCACTGCAGTACTTTAAACTTGAACTTCAGTAAATCTGTGGTAATAAGCCAAGGCAAACTTTTTTTTGCCACCTTTTTGTTAAAGTGCAAATGCTCATTCAGTTGATATGCCTGAAAAATCCGAAACTTAACTAAGTTCGCTGACCGACACTACCAAGATGAAGGGCGGAATTCTATGAATAGCAAGCTAATGATGCTTCAGCCAAATATCACATTTCTCTTTTGTATGTAGTGTGACCATGAAATGGAACTGGTTCCCGGCGGAGGGCGGCCGACCGAGCACCAGCCGCGGAGCACCAGCTTTATTCCATGATGAAGACCGAACTATGCTGATGTGCTTTTATCCCTTACAGTTATTTTGAAATGCATGAAAAGGATAGTGAAGACAATATTGGCGAAAGAGATGGTAATGCAAAGAAAAGTGACAGTGATTGGCAAATTAATGATAATTGAAATCTGCTAAACTGTTCATAAAGAAATATGTAAGAGAAATTTGCAACAACTACAAAATCGCAATAATGGATGGATGGAAATCCAGTTCTCATAACGATGAAGAGTAATAACGATTATTGATAATAAGTATAATGAGACTACCAAATTAACCTCTCCCCCCCTGACAGTGCCAAAGATGGAACACTAGAGGACTGAGTCAGCTGACCTTGTTCAGCGGCGTCATCGCGTGACTGTGATGACGATGCCATGTACCTGTAGCAGCACGTGGCGCCCTCATCTGACGCCGCCGTGTCAGACCAGGGTGCACTCTGTAATATGTTTTCGACTTGGCCGAATGGTTGCCATTGTGCCATAGAATTAACGAGGCGTATGTTGCTGCCAAGCCAAAGCTCCGGGATGAAAGGACAATGTGACTCTGAGAATGCTTGAGGCTACGTCGTTCATGTGATATTATACAATGCCTGTGATATCCTGATGTTGTTGTGATTATAACATCCACGTTCATGTGACAGACAGACTGTTTTTTATGAGAACAAGATAATGACACTGGATCATGGTGATTCGGTTCAAGTCAAGTAGATATGTTTTGTGACCGTTATGTAAACTTCAGCTTGCAGCTTCACCTTGAACTGGATATACTGTGGGATGCAGATGGTTTGTTTCCTTTCCATCAGAGTTCTTCCCACGCCACAGAACTAGATCTTCGTCCGAGAAAATAATTGAACTTAAAAGAACTAAGCCGAACGAGTGCGTTAGAATCCAAACGTTTGAGGTTAAAAAAGAGTAATGTAATACTGTAACATATCTTTATGTTTGGCAGTACGATGCAATAAGAAAAAGTCATCATTATCTGAAATGGTGGTTCCCATCATGGAATATTTATTTCATTTCACTGACACTGATTTGCATTCTGCATCATCAAGTGCTTCTTTTTGACACGCACGAAGCTCTGATTTGAATATAAATTGATGCTTACTTTTAAGCGATCTTCTTGCAGCATTGATCAGTGAGTCAAGCAGTCAGAAAGAACCAGTCCGTCATATATGTTTCATATAAGGTTCCAAGGCAGGATTTTCCATCGCAAGTTCAAACATTCAAACGTCACATGGTACCTAACCCAAATACATCTATAAATTAATAAGACTACGAATTGTATATATTGACTACTTTTACGACTTACGCTATTTTTACAAGTAGTATCTGGAGGAACGAGAATCTCAAAATCATGATGGCGCCAATGTTTTGTGACCACATCTGTGACCACATCTCATGTCAGTTCGAAACAAGAATTTAATTAAAGCAGTAGCATTTGACAAACAAAACCGATCGACAAACTCCCAAGAATTAACGTTCGTGGATATTGTATTAGTTATGTGACCAACTTTGACTCGCTTTGTTTCACCAGAGGTCCATTGCGCTCACATGAGTTACGGATCCCTTCCTTCCAGAGAATGCATCAAAATGTACTTCACAATCCTCCGTGATTTTCTTTGTTGCATCAAGAGTTGCATGATCTCATATTACAGTGCCCCGAGGACAGGAATCCGTTTGTTCATGGAATTCAGATTAGCATTAGTCATTTAGGAACATTAACTCGTGATTACATATATTGAAAATGAGTTGTGAGAACAAGAGATATTGCGTAATTCCAATAGATTTCTGAAAGACTTAAAACAGGGAAGAAAGTAGGTTATGATTTCTAAAGGGAAGCCAGTTACTGCAAATATACCAGTAATTTGCCTTATGGACAAAGAAAATCACTTTGAATCGTACCAGGGAAAGGACGAGTAAATTATTACATTACCTGTTTCCAGGTCTGATATTTTCTGCTTGAAGTCATAATAAAAAAGGAAATGCAAAGACCTAAATCTGAAAAGAAATGCTACAGACCACAACTTCAAAGAAAGTTCACGGGAAAAAGACGTGTTTGATTATCAGCCATGCATTTTTGCAGTGTACTGTATCAAAAGTCTCGCACTTTACTTATTCTGAAAATTGGGTAAACACATAAGATAAAAAAGGAAATACTTTATTTTAATCACAGTTCATATACTACTACATATTTTTTTATATAGCTTATGGCATGCACATTATCATCTGGTTAAACTGGTCAAAGAGGTTTTTTTTATATATCTTCCATGTATAATTATATATTCAGAAACTGCATGTTGTCGGAAATGCGCAAGTTTGTGATTATCACCAATAAATATTCTGGTAGGTAGCATATTTTCCTCATGTCTAGCAAATTAGAATATGAAGGAAATGCTGACTAAAAAACTAAGACGATCCTGAGTGGCGCGCCCACATAATGCAAATGTTGCCTGAACCATCGTGATATGTGACGTTATCATCTCTTGGAAGAATTGCGTGTGAGAAAGGCGAGGCGGTGGTGTTGAGCTGTTTTCGTTGTAACTCACTATTTTTGTAACCACTTATTATATATAAGGTTCCACAAATAGGCGTATGCATAAGTCGATGTGACGCCACATATCACGCAAACTAAATAGAACGGTGCTCTGAATCAGTCATCCAATTTGTAAAATATTATAGCGAGGGAAACTGACTGTTATCATACATGCAATCACAGATAATTCAACTGTTATAGCAGAGGTTCCTAACCGGCGGGTCGCCGTCCCAAACAGAGGGCTAGTACTTTATATTGGGGAAAATAAAGTAGGCCAATATGCAAGGCGTCCGGCCATGTTCGTATTAAGCATATGCCAAGAATCCATGTCACCACGGAATTCTGTATTATAATCAGGTAAATAAAGTTTGCATATATTGCTGAATATTGTTTTTTTTTTTCTCTTAGGCTAAAAATGTGCGATAAAAATTGATAAACGTGACGGCTGATGTCGGGGTCGCGGGAATGTCGGTTTTAGGAAGGGGTCGCGAATATAAAAATACTGGGAACCACGATGTTAGAGCATGAATTACGAATATCAGTTAAGTTATGCATTTGAAAATAGGACAGTTTACAATTTGCTAATGAAATACGCTAAACGAATAATGAATTCACAATCATACAGTGGGTGATCGATAGTTGTAGTTTGCCTTTGTCACTTTCATCACACACACACACACACACACACACACACACACACACACACACACACACACACACACACACACATATACATATATACATATATACATATATACATATATATATATATATATATATATATATATATATATATATATATATATATATATATATATATATATAACACGCATACACACCACACACACACTAATATACATATATATATCTGTGTGTGTGTGTTTGTGTGCGTGAGTGCGTGGATGTGTTCATAAAGCAGTTGATCGGGCACACATTACTCGTTTTCCTGTTTTCGTATCTCTTAAAAGCTTTGCTAAACCAGTGTCTTACTACTAGAGTTACCTCAGTTAGGAGCCATCCTAAATTTGCTGAACCTTAGTAACTACTGTTACACGCATTTCAAATATCTTTAAATTTCTCACACAAATTATCGTATATTTTTAAATGCAATTGTTATGTCACCCGCCCTGCTTTCACGTAGTATTGATAAAAAATCAAAAGTGCTACAAGAAAGACAACTGCGTTGACCAGTCGTGCTGTATGAGGGCTCCGACTTCTGCGTTCTTTTGCCAGCAATTTCGGATTTAGCCGAGATCCTAGATTGGCGACCGATAACCCAGGATTAGTGGTCATACGCTTGTGCTTTATAAGCCAATGAATTCGCCATTTTCCTTTTCGCCCTCGCTAAAATAATTATTCACTATGCACTTTGGCCCAGCCGTAAATTGGCACCGACATGGACCCATGCGCAGCGTGCTCTTGCTGACCGGCATTCATCACTAAAACAGGTTTCAACACAGACACATCAATGCGTCTGTGCGTCTATGATCGTGCCCTACACAGCATGGGCTACTCAGAACTAGAATGTAAACTTTTATTGTTTCCCATTTATTTTAGTGTTTTTTTTTCTGTCTATCAGAATCGCTAGAGTCGAAAATGCATTGTATAGTATCGATTTTTTATATTTATTAAAGATTGCACTCTGGTATATACAATGCGACTTGCTGGCTTTCAGGGGATTTAACCTGGGTGCATTAGTAGTATATGTTATATGAACATTGTTTGATCTGCAATGGTTATTAAGTGATTGCACTGCCAA